AACTTCACAGCAAAAATTCATTTACAGACAACAACCTTCTTATCATAGGTTAATTCAACTAATTATGATGTTTTATTTTCAGTTAAGAAATTCATTTCATCAAGCATCGTTACACACCACCCATCGTAGGATAGGGCTTGCTGAACAGATCTCAAAAACTCAACAAAATCAAGGGATGCAATAAACAAGCGAGAAATAGAAGATAATTGATCATACGTAATATAAGAGAAAATGAGATAAATGCATTGATGTTTGTCTCTTCAAAGAGCAATTGAAAAATCAATGTCACCAGGAGAAGAATCCACTGAAGAAGAGGACATTGATGTCGAATAGGATCGAGGGACGAGGTCTTCTCAAGTAAACATTGGTGATAGGTGATTTAGGATGAGGCACTAGTAATGGAAGTGGAGCTAAATTGATGATGTGGTACATTAACTACTCATCAAAATCTTATGAGAATTTAGACAATGATGAGTCAGCAATGGATAGGGTTTGTTCGAGAAATGTAACATAAGGAACGATCATGTACCGGTTTAAGAGGGAAAAACATTGATACCCTTTTTGCAAAAGAAAGTATCCTTGAAAGTCACTTTAATGACTTAGGTTCCACTTTAGAAACATATAGACGAGATTCACAAATAAAATAAGTACACCCAAATATACTCGGTTTAATAAAAAAGAGAGAGTTGTTTGGAAATAGAACTTAGTGGGTATTTGATTTTATAAAATAGTAGAAGAAATCTGATTGTCAAAAGAATCAAGCCATAATTAGTTAATCATACCAACATATTAATCACTTGTTTATCGCAGTATAGCTTCTTCGATAAAAATTTGAAAAAAAATCTTGAATTTAAGCAGCCTTCAAAAACATGATCATCGTCATTAGCCTATCCTAATCACTACAATCATCATTAGCCATAACTAATCATCATTGCTAAGAGCGTAGAATCATCACAATAATATGACCAATAAATAAATAAGCATATAAATCAGAATAATATTATGAAAATGTTTAGGTGAAACTAAATGCTATCATAAGAGTAAAAAATAAGAGAACTCATAAAATGAATGAAGTTGTAGTTGTTATACCCCAATTTACCTACAACGTCAAACTCGAACCCTTGTAATTATTCGTACAAATAAAATTAAAACTAAGATATTTAAATAATAATTTAATATTATTTATTTTCTAAAAAAATTAGTTTATTTACATTATCTTTCTTATTGTCATTTTTTTAAAATCTAGTAAACCATTTTAATTCTATTATTTGCTTAGCAATAATTATTAATTACTAATCTAGTTCAAAATTATCAATCATTTACATTCATTTTAATCTAATTGAAAATGGTTTATTAATATTATTATTATCATCATCCAATCTAGAAAAATTTTATTTTAAGAAAATGTTGATCATTCTAAAAGTAATATAAATCATAAATATTAATTTAACCCTCGAATTATTCACGTAGATTTTATCTTACTAATTTACACTTTAAAATCTATAAATTCTATAAATGTGTGTGTGTGTGTGTGTGTGTGTGTGTGTGG